CTTTTTCCCTTAAAGTCCTCTTAGTAGCTGTGAAGGCATCCTGGACTTTGGATTTGCATTTTGTTGGTGGTTAAAGATGTTGAACATCTTTTCATGTGGGGATGAGAACATCTGAATTATGTTTGTGAGGCAGCTCTTTACTGGGGTTCCCAACATAATACCTGAAGGATATCAGTTCCACTAGCTATGGCCCAGCAAGAGGAACTTTTTGCAAATATGAAGCAATATGCTTTCAGACCTCCTACCCATTCTGCTGCTTATAAACTTTCTCAGAGGCTGGGCCAGTAGGCCTATCACAGGAATCAGAAAAGAAAGGTGGGGGGACAGAATAAAGAAGGCAGTTTGTTCAACTGCCAAGATCTGTGGACATTACACTCAGCTCAGGTGATCTGAGAAATGGCTTGCACTCCCACTTTACTTGAGTAGAGTGAGGAAGATGCCTTGCAGAAGCTCAATGGAACTTCCACCACTGGAGGGGTGTTCTAGTTTGTTTCTCCATTGCTGTGACAAAATACTCTGACCAATACCAACTTGGGGAGGAAAGGGTTTAATGGCTCACATCTCCCAGGTCTTAGTTCATCAGGGAGGCCAAGGTAGGAACTCAGGGCAGGAACCTGGAGGAAGGAGCTGCAGTACAGGCCATGGAGGAACACTGCTTACTGACTTGTTCCCCTGGCCCATCCATGCTCAGCCTGCTTTCTTATACAATACAGAACAACCTGCCCAGGGGTGGCACCACCCACAGTGGTCTGGGCCCTCCCACATCACTCAAAAATCAAGAAAGTGCCCCATAGACATGGCCACAAGCCAGTCCTATGGAAACAATTCCAAAATTGAGGTTCCCTCTACTGAGGTGTGTCAAGTTGACAACTAAAGCTGTCCAGCACACAAGGACACAATGCCTGTCTGCAATGAAGTTTAGAACAAAGACAAGGTTGTAGAGGACGATCTGATGGGGGTTGGCTTTAGCTATACAAACATCCTGATAAGTTGTGGGGAACATTGAAGACCACGCAGTCCTGAATCATGGGCACTGGGTGTGCTGAGAGATTGAACGGATGTATCTGATGGTGAGTAGGTGTATTATGATGTTGTTCCCACATGATGTGAGCCAGAGGCTGCTATGATGTGACCCTACAGTGGGGCCAGGGGCAGACCTCTTGGGTGGGGAAGCATAGGCTCATGGCCAGAAAGAGTTGGTCAGCTAAGGAGCCGCCCTCGGCCCCAACATAGCCATGAGAGACCAGCAGCCCCTAGCTTGAGTCATAAAGGCGAGGATGTGCAGATTGAGGCAGGCAAAGGGCTGAAGTCAGGAGCATGGCCCCTGGAAGACCTATCAAGAAGACAAGTTCTTCCCTCTGGGGGGCAGAGGGCAGAGTGACTGACTTCTCTCTACCCAGACACCTCCTCAGAGAGGGACAGAGAGGGCAAAACTGGAGGCGTCTGAGGGGCACAGTATTACTTAACAAGTCAGATGAGAGCCAACGTGTTTTCAGCTACCTAGTAGATACAACTACAGACCAAGTATGAGAAACAGTAGCTAAATTACGTGGTGAGTCCAGGGATCTGGCTGTTACTGCCTGGCTCAGAAGAGAGCCTCCTGTGCCAGGCTGATGAGACGATGTGCCCCTTCAGTGTTACCATCTGCGGCCAATTTTCAGGGGTAGCTGGAGTCAAAGGAGAATCTAAAGTGGAGAATCTCTTCCCTTTGACTGGAAAAACTGGTCTGAAGTGGATGTTCCTGTTGACTGTGATGGCCATTTTCTCAGAGCCACTTGAGGCATTTGGACAGGCCAGGCTGGAGAAAGAGCAGTCCTCTACAAGTGGCCTGCCTGGCTTTTTGTTCCAGACACTAGGCCAGTTCTCCCCACATGTCCTGAGTCTTCCCAGCAGCCCTGTGAAAGAAGATGCTGTTATACATCTTTCTTTTTTTCTTTCTTTCTTTCTTTTTCTTTCTTTCTTTCTTTTTTCTTTTTTTTTCTTTTTTTCTCTTTCTCTCTCTTTCTCTCTCTCTTTCTCTCTCTCTTTCTTTCTTTCTTTCTTTTTCTTTCTTTCTTTCTTTCTTTTTTCTTTTTTTTTCTTTTTCTCTCTTTCTCTCTCTCTTTCTCTCTTTCTCTCTCTTTCTTTCTTTCTTTCTTTCTTTCTTTTTCTTCTCTTTTTTCTCTTTTTTGGTCTTTTTGAGACAGGGTCTCCCTGTAGCCCCAGCTGGCCTGGCACTTACTACGGAGACCAGGCAGGCCTTGATCTCTCAGCGATCTGCCTGCCTCTGCCTCCTGAGTGCTAGGACTAAAGGAGTGCACCATCACCACACCCGGTAAAATATTGGGAAACTGGACCTCCTCCCATTATGCATATTTCATAGACAAAGAAACTGGAGCCTTGGTGAGGACCTGGGTAAGTGGTTGGACCAACATTTGGTCTAACTGTAGAGGCTGGGCACTTAGCCACTGCGTACACTGCCTCTCTGTTCTGCTTAAAAGCTGCTCACAGATCTCAGCAAGAGCAGTTCCTTAAAGACAAATACAAAAAAATGCTGCCATTTATAAGTATATACCCATTTCACAAAAAGGATAGTTAATCAAAGTGGTAGAGAGCCTGAGAAGTTATTTTAGCCATTCTTACACATACACAAGCCGTTACTATATCACACTACTCAGTTCAGATGGCGCATACTTCTATCCATGCATGCGTGTATCCCTCCATCCATGCATCCATCCACCTTCTCATCTCATAGGTGTTGAGCCTACTATGTATTTGCCAGGCACTGGGGGCACAAATGGCTAGGACGTTCTCCCTGTGAGGAGTGCAATCAGGAAGAAGCCCCCACCCTGCAGACAACAGTATGCACAGGTACCAAGAATGTGATTCTCTGCATCCTGCCTGTGCTGGTTAACTTTTATCAATGTGACACAGACTAGAATTATCTGGGAAGACGGAACATCAATGGGAGAATTTCTTGTGGCCATGTCTATTAGACATTTTCTCAATTGCTAGTTAATGTGGGAGAGCCCAGTTCACTGTGGGAGGTGCCATCTCTAGGCAGGTGGGGCGAGGCTATACAAGAAAGCTAGCTGAGAGGCTGGAGAGATGGCTCAGCAGTTAAAAGCACTGGCTGTTCTTGCAGAGGACCCCAGTTCAGTTCCCAGCACCCACATAGTGGCTAACAACTATCCATAACTCCAGTTCCAGAGGATCCAACACCCTCTTCTGACCTCCATGGGTATTTCATGACACAGGTACACTCACATACATGTAGGCAATACACACATACTCGTAAAATAAAAATAATATTTTTTAAAAACAAAGTTAGCCGAACAAGCCAGAGGAAGGAAGCCAGTAAGCAGCATTCTTCCATGGCTCCTGCCTCTGTTAGTGCTTGAGTTTCTGTCCTGACTTCCCTTGATGATGACTGTAACTGTAGGCCGAAGTAAACCCTCTTCTCCCTAGGTTGCCTTCGTTCAGTGTTTTATCACAGCAACAGAAAAGCAAACTAGAGCACCCCTCTTCTTCCTTCTGGTCTTGTCACTCTTCAAGGACTGCCAGTCAGTGTCACTCCTCACTCCTTATTTTCTGCTTGGTACCTTGATAATGGAGAGAATTATCCTCCAAAGCACAGTCTACTGTTTTTCTTTCCTTGTCCCTTGGTGTGTGTGTGTGTGTGTGTGTGTGTGTGTGTGTGTGTGTGTTGTCTGTAAAGTCCTACTACAATGTGGTCCTGTCAGTTACGGAGACCGCAACTGATTCACAAAGGTATCCCCAAGGCCTGACTCATCTCTGGTGCCTAGCTTATTGCTTGAATGAATAAAGGTTGCAACCAGATTATGCTAGTCCTTGAATACCAAGCTGAGAAATTTTGACTTTGGTTTGTAGGCAATAAAAACTAACAGGAGATTTGATCAAGGGTAATGCACGATCAGATCTGTGACTTTCAAGGAAAAGGCTGTAAAGAATGGCATGAGGTAAGGAGACCAAGATAAAGATAACAGAAGCAACTGCCACTGATAAATTGGGAGTTCATTTGTCTCAGCTATGGCAATGATGACAGGAAAAGAAAATGTAATCGATGGGTAAGTAGAATCCCGAGGAAATGCCTGTGAGTGGTGGGAAAGCATGGCCAAGCCTGTACTGTGGGCGACTTTGCAATTACTGTGCCACCACTAAGCAAGAGGGTCGGACAAGAAAGGGAAGACCCGGCTGTGCTCCTGAATGTGAAGGGGAGGACCTGGGTGTCCTCCTGGGTATGTGCCTGTAGACTGTCTAGAGAGGCTCCTTGGAGGTGGCGACTCTGGGAGATTGGGGTGAAGGACAGGATGGGATTCAGGAGATATGGTAGACTCTAGGGTAAACAAGGGCACCTAGGGAGAACACATACATTAATGAAGACTAACGAGGAATGGCGCCTGTGGTTGTCACACTTCAAAGAATGACTAAAGGAACAGAAGCCAGTGCAGGAGACTAAGCGGGAGGAGGTAAAGTGAAAAAGCTAGAAACGAGTATTACTGGGGAGACCAGAGAAGGGAGAATTGTCTGGGGTGGGATTCAAAGTCTTGGCTGACTTCCTTCAGAAGCTCAGATGAGAAGCTGAGAGGGGGGTAGGCAAGAGAGCCCCAGGAGAAATCCTGGAGTAGGGGGGACTTACACAGGACAGAAGGCAATGTAATAGGTCTTTAGAGATAATCAGGAGACCTGCAAGTGCCAGTGAACAGTGAACAGGGCATTTTAAAGGTGCGGAGGTTTCCCCCTTGGAGAAACAGCGGCAATAGAAAAATTAAGGTTGAGTTCTCCTCGCCCACCCATTCTACTCCCAGAGGTCTTCCGCTCCTCAGATTTCTATCTATGTACCTACCCACACATGAACTGTTTCTAAATCAGTTGTGCGATAATTCCATACATATTGTTCTAAAGATTCTTTTTCTGTACTCATAACTGTACGACACCTAGGTTTCTTTTTTGTGCCTGCTTGCTATTTGCTCAGATAAATAATTTATTTGTCCGCTCCATTATTGATGCATCACGGTTTTAATATTTTTGTTCCTATAAACAGCTCTGCAGTGCTTCCCACACATTCGTCGTAGGGCACTTGTATGAGTTCTTCTGTAGGATAATGCTCTACACTGGCTTTGTCCACCATGGCTACACGTAAGCCTGTTGCTTCACGAAAGGGCTCCTTGAATTAGTCCACTCTTCCATCGGGAATTGGGAGTGAAAAAGGCAGGGAAGCCTATAAAAATAAAAACAAAGTTTTTAAGTATTCCAATCTGAAGATTATACACCTTCCTTTTTAATCAAGACGTAGATGATAGTATTTATGTGAAAGCAAAACCCTGATTAACCTGATAAATACGGCCCAGGTGGAAGCAACTCTCAAGGAGATAAAATAACAGTCTATCCCTTTTGGCCTGACTATCTTCTATGCCTAGAGTTAACATCTGAGGATGATACTGAATCCTAATGGCATATTTAGACTGTTCAAAGAGTGTGGTGTGCTATTTGTTCACAGGTCAAAGGTTCAAGTCCATTAAAACGTTTTGTGGACATGATGATATTCCTGGGATTTGGTATTTAATATGTGAACTCATCAGTTTAATTATATTTCCAGTAGATTATCTTTGGCACTGAGTAGGGGAAAACCTTCTCTGCTCCCTGCAGAGAACACAAAAACATGCTGAGAAAACAAAGACCAAGTGCAAAGGACCCTGGGATTTCTGGCAGTGAAGACATACTTGGCTAGGAGCGCCCTCTTCTGGCCCGAGGCTCCACTGCATCAGCCTGAGTTCAGCCCATCCAAGCTCAAGGGCCTGATTTTTAGCATTTAGCTCTCCAACAGTAACATCTAAGAATCTTTGATTTACTTCTGCCGCAGACACTGAAATTCCAGGATGTTCTCTTTCAGAATTTGTTCTGTATTTTCAGGTTGAGCAGGGTTCTGCCTCCTCTTCAGGAACAAATCCTTGATGACTACAGGATTACCGCCCCCCTCCCTTTTTTTTAACAAATACTCTCCTTAGAGCTGGGTTAAGCCATTAGAATTCCACTTACATTTGTTAATTGCAAGGAATAAAATGCAAGGCTTTGTACAAACAGGATGTACATCTAGAAGGCAAAGCAGAATGGCATTCAATTCTCTTTGCTACCCAGGGTCTCTGAGCAAAGAGTGCCTGAAACTGAGGTTTTCTGTCCATTCTGGAAAGTTGTCAGAACCTTAGGGCAGCCTCAACTTTCCCATCTTCATCTAGCATTATTTGCTGAGTACCTACTGTGTGATAGGAAGTGTGCAAGGAGCAGATCTTAGTGGTGGGCAAGCTGTGATAATTGGGCAGGTTTTATTGCAAAGTGTTTGGAAATCTAAGAGCATCCACTCTGACAGCTTACTGGAGCCTCAGTGCTGTTCTTTCAAATGACCTGTTAATCTGTCTTGTGCTGTGACTATTATGTTTAACAAGGTTAATCCTTGCAGTTCAGAAGAGGCTTTTTTCTAGCATCCTTACAGGGTGCTATTCAGTCCTTCAAGGACTGTGTTCATGGTCTGTTGTGATGGGAAAGAGGAGAGAGCATGAAAGAAAACAAGTTTTCCAAATAACTGTTTTCCTTGGAGCTCAGTGAGCAGAACTGAGGCCAGGCCCTGTTTGGATGTGGGAGTCTGCCATTACTTGGCACTATCTCCATAAACCTTGCTGGGTGAGCCACAGGCCTGTAACCCTCTGCCCCTGCCTTGCCTGCCTGCCCTGTCCCCCCTGCTTCTCCTCCAGGCAGAAGAGGAGCCTCCTTTCTTTCTCATTCAGGGATCCATCTGCCAGGATCAGCTTCAAAGACAGAGCATCTTGTTCTAGTCAGGCCTCAGAATGCACAGAGTAGAAGACAGCAGATGAAAGTCCTGGCAGATGAACAAGGCCCTGTCATCCAAGAAAGGTAAGAAAATGACACAAAGCCAAGGGCTGTGAGGAACCAAATTCCATACAATGTCTGGTGAGCTTCCATTAGCTGTTTATGCCTAGACTGTCCCAAAACTTCAGATGAAGCTTGGAGGGGCTTCTTCAAGAAGCCGTGTGTCCTTCTAATCTACTGTCCAAAGCTCAGCAAGCTATCTTCCTCTCATAAGCAAGCTTGGATATTTTTTTCTTAAGATAGCTACCATTCTGACTGGGCGTGGTAGCACGTGCCTTTAATCCCAGCACTCGGGAGGTAGAGGCAGGTGGATCTCTGTGAGTTCAAGGCCATCCTTTTTGTCTCAAAAAGATTATATATATATATATATACCATTCTTTCTAAACCATTCTTCTAAGAGTGGTCACCAAAGGGGGTTGTATTTTGTAGCCGCTTCATCAAAAGTTCCAAGATTTTGGGTGGCTCTTCCAAAGTCACATTGTTCAATTAAATCCGACTCATTTAGTCCAACTCACCAAGTATTTATTGAGCTGAGCACTGTGTTAGGAAAAGACCTGGACACCACCCTCAGGAAACTCACAGACCAAGGGTGAGACATGATAAACAGAACATTTCAGTCCAGCATGGGTAAGTGCAAGGAGAGATTTTTACCCCAGGCAGCACTTCCATGGAGTTATTGTCTGGAGGGAGAGCCAGACGTTAACTGGAAAATTACACAAATAAAAGTAGAATTTAAACTCTGACCAGTGCTGTGGAGGAGAGCAGGTGGTCATGACACCTTTAATGTGGCGTCTGGCTGGGGTGGGGAAAGGGTGGATGAATTAGCTGTAGCGTGGTGGGACAGAGGTCCAGGCATAGAGAAGCATGGAATGGTAGCAGGAAGGCACACAGTGTATCTGCATTAAGTACTTTTCTTATGACTGTGACCAGAGAAGAAGCAATTTAAGGATTTATTTTGGTCTACAGATTAAGAAGGAATACAGTTCATCATGTTGGCAGGAATATGGGGCAGCTTGTCACACTGTCTCAGTCAGCAGTCAGAAAGCTAAGGGCAGACAGGAAGTGGAGCCCAGCTATCAAACTTCAAGGCCCACCCCCAAGGACCTACTTCCTGTAGCAAGACTCCAACTCCGAATGATTTCACAACTTTTCAAAAACAGAGCCACCAACTGAGGACCAAGTGTTCAAAAACATGAGCCTATAGGGGGTATTTCACATTTGAAGCACAACATTATTTAAGGGACCAAACCAGAGCTGATGTCTAGAACACAGGCCAGCAAAGTCAGCAGGGCTTGCACACCCATGGGGTCTGGTGGGGCATGGCCTTCACTTCCATGTGTCCATTTCTTCCTCTGTATACCTGCCCTGTGGGAATGGATGAGCCTGCCCCTGTGTTAGCCTCTGCTGTTGTGCTGTTCTGTCCCTCACCATGTCCACCAGGATGAGCCTGCAGGTAAGGATCTATAGGCTTGATGGATGTATCTGTTTAACGATTCACACTGAATCTATGGGCACTGGGCCAGGTCTCAGAAACCATGGAAATTAGCACAAACTCCTGTAAAGGTAACCACTGGTTTTCTGGAGACGTTCTGAATGAATGACTGGCTGGCCTGCTGACCACAGGACTCAAAAACAACCACCAAAAGTTTATCCCAAATACCCAGGAAAAAAGAAAAAAAGACAGAGCCTCTCAGGAGAAGACCAACTATAAATGGAAAATTACACTGAAGGAAAACAAATCTTATTTGATGTGAACCCATTTTTGACTCTGTCTGGAAATCCAGGGCAGAAGGAAGTGGAGGGGACAGGGAGTGAGCAGATGTGCCCAGGTTCAACTGCCCGCAGGAGTTGGGTAGACTCATGTGTATGCTGTGACCGGGCCACAGTAAAGGCGGCACCCACACTGCTAGCCAGACCTAGACAGGCTCAGGCTCCTGTGACCGAACGTGCCGGCCCAGTACTGGTGGGGAGCAGTGCACACATTCAGTGAGGAGCATGGGGGGCACTGTGGAGTCCTGGGGGCACTTCTGCTTTCTCAGATGGGGTCTTGGGGTCGTGCCAGTAGATGATATAAATGATTAGTAACTGACCACTGCTTTCTTCAGAGCAACTCTGAGCCTCCACACCCAAGGCTGATAGATTCCAGTTTGACAATTCATCTACTGTGGAGTACTGGGTAATTTCTGGTCATCTTGGTACTTTGTATTTCCCATTAGAGAAGAAATATAACCTCACCATTTGGATGGCTTTACATCAAAATATTAACTTTAGAAAGAGGTGCTATCTGGTGACATATTTTTACAACATGCAAATATTGCTTACCTTCTTGGGATGGTATACCTTAAATGCAGTCATAAGCCCCATAATGACAACCACAGGCTGCTGTGTAACAGTGGTCCCAGAAGATGGCAAAGGGATGTGGTAACTGTAGTAATTTGTGTATGTTGTTTGCATGACAGAGTGGCCTTGTGATATCTTTCTCTGAACAAATTCCTGTTGTGAAAGCAATGTCTGTCTGTCCTAATGTCCCAGTTCAAATCCTATGGAGACCCCCTTCCAGACATGTGGTCTTGAACAATAACTTAACCTCCCTGAGCTTCATCAGTAAAGTGAGAATGTTGATAATACCTATGTCCTAGGGTTCAGGAAGGACTAAGCACAGAACAGCACTCAGGAGAGTGCTGGTACTAAGCACTCACTAGATATCCATGCCGGTAACTATCGTGGATTCTCTGAGTTTATGCTTCTTATTACCCCACTAGTGTACTCCAGGAAATGGAATTCAAGAGGTTAAAGGTCCACATGGTAGACTATTACTCAACCCTAAAAGAACTGAGCTATCAAGCCACGAGAAAGCACTGAGGCATCTTAAGGACACACTACTGAGAGAAGACAAACCAGAAAAGGCTGCAAACTGTCTGATTTCTACCATGTGGTTTTTCTGGGAAGGTGGAACCATGGAGGCAGAAAAATGTCCACGGCTATTAGAGGAAGGAGGGAGGGATGAATCTCTGTTACAGGAAAGGTTTTTAGGACACTGAAATTGACTGCATGATACCATAAGGGTCTATACCTGTCATTACGTTTGTCAAAGCCTTTAGAAGGTACAGCACCAAGAGTAATCCCCAGTGTAAACTCTGTACTGGGTGGTAATGAGGTGCCAACATAAATTCATAGATTTTAATAAACGTGCCACTCTGGTAGAAGGTGGTGACTGTAACAGGCTTCTTAGGGGCCTAAGGAAGGAAACTTGCAAATTGCTGTTCTTTGTGCTTAGTTTTGTTGTGACCCTAAAACTTCTCTTTAAAAAAAAAAAAAAAGATTAAGTCCATTGTT